TTAACCGACTGAGCCACCCAGGCACCCCAATAAGATATTTTTAAAAAAATTAATATAGGGGCGCCTGGGTGGCTCAGTCGGTTAAGCGTCCGACTTTAGCTCAGGTCACGATCTCATGGTTCGTGGGTTCGAGCCCCAGGTCGGGCTCTGTGCTGACAGCTCAGAGCCTGGAGCCTGCTTCGTATTCTCTATATCCCTCTCCTTCTCTCTGCCCCTCCCCTGCTCATGCTCTGTTTCTTCCTCTCTCTCTCAGAAAGTAAATAAACATTAAACAAAATTAAAATAGGGGCGCCTGGGTGGCTTAGTCAGTTAGGCGTCCGACTTTCGCTTAGGTCATGATCTCGCGGTTCGTGGGTTCGAGCCCCGCGTTGGGCTCTGTGCTGACTGCCAGCTCGGAGCCTGGAGCCTGCTTCAGATTCTGTGTCTCCCTCTCTCTCTGACCCTCCCCTGCTCACGCTGTCTCTCTCTCTCTCCTAGAAATAAATAAAACATTTAAAAAAAATTAAAATAAAATAAAATCTTTAGGGGCCGCCTGAGTGGCTCAGTCTAAGCATCGACTTTGGCTCAGGTCATAATCTCACTGTTTAGGAGTTCGAACCCCGAACTGGGCTCCACGCTGCCTGCTTCCTCTGTCTTCTTCTCTCTGCCCCTCCCCCCTTCTTGCTCTCAAAATGTAAACATGAAAAATAGATAAATAAATAAAACCTTTAGAGAGCAGTTAATTAATTAAAATAAGAAGTGTTTAAAGTTAAGTCAAAGACGGTGCCCTGCTAGACCCAAGCTCTGAGGGGCCCAGAGAGAGAGAGAGACGCAGCCCCTCAGGGGTCCTTTCTTCCAGAGTTCTGGAAGAACTCGCTGTAGAGGACTTTCAGTCGCTCACTGAATCCTGACCCTCCGCTCTGCTCAGTAGTTTTGGGGGCTCCCATTTCCTCCCTAGGACCTAGTCCTCAGGCCCCCAGGGGCCAGGCCCCCCTGGCCCTTTTGAACCCTGGACCTGACTTGACAGCCTCCTTCTGCCTCCCCCAGGCTGGCATGGCGCGGGACGGGGAGTTGGGCGGTGAGGGGGCTGCCCCTTCCTTCAGCCCCGGCCCCCAACCCACCTCCTCCCCGCCCTCCCCAAGACAGAAAGAATTCACTGCTCCTCATCTGAGTTATCCTAGGACCTTGGGCAAACAGACCCTGACTGGGCACTTAGCCCATTTATAGTCTCAATAAATGTTTACCTGTCTGTCTGCCCCAGATCAGAGCAGGGGCCTAGAGAGCCAGGACAATAAGGGGCAGGAGAGGCAGATAACAGGCTGTAAAACAGACCGAGGGACACATCCCACCGATGGGCAATTCCTGGCTAGGGGACCCTCACCTTCTGAGAGCCCAGGAGGATGGGGAGTTGTGAGAAGGCGGCAGAGGCCGAACGCGCTGTATACAGTAAGTGCTCACTCATGAGAAACTATTAGGAACCTGGGGCTCCGGAGAGGTGCATACCAGGCTAACCACCTCCCAGTCGGAGCTGGGATTTTCCTGATGCGTCATTGTCTGCATATGGGCAACGCAGCAGATCTCCACCCTCCCCTTGATACAGAGCCTCTTCCGAGCTCCAAGCCATGGAGGGCCAACTTGGGGGGGGGAGGGGGGCAGGGACTCGCCATCCTAAATATCCGTATCTCAGCGACACCCCCCAAGTAGCCAGGTGGGCTGCTCTTGGCTCTAAAGCTTGTACGTCCTCTCGGTCTGGGTGACCCGGCATCTTCTAGCGCCTCCAGAAAAACAGGTTTACCGCGTGGCGCCCGGCAAGGCCCGGCGGGTGTTTTGTATTGTCACATCCTAATATTGACACTACGAAACTCAGGCGGCCTCCCGGAGCCCGCCTTCGTGCGCTGACCACCCAGCCCGGGCCTCGCTCCCGCCGGCCCCGGTGCCAACAAGGAACTGGGGGCGGCGGCCTTATTTGCTTACATTCTGTGTTCGTCCCAGGGCCTGGCCCCGGCCAACCAGGCAGGACAAAGGGACGGGGGAGCGGTGGCCTCTGTCCACTCCGGCCCCACCGCAGGCTTCCTGGCGGCCACGAGCGTGCCGGGCACTTCCTTGAAACCTCTTGGAATTGTTCTGAGCAGGGAGAATAAACAGCCGGACTCTCGTGGGATCCACTACGTTGGAGGCGAAGGGAAGCAAGAAGCCATTAATTGTCTACAACCTTAATAGGGTTCGCCAAAAACAGGATGCTTTTCCAGGGAGCGGGGACAGCGGATGGGGCCGGTCCCCAAGTAGCCCCTTCCACGCATCAGAGGAAAAACGGGCTGACACTGAGCGCTACTTTCCTTGTAGCTCCACAAACCCAGCTTATCTACCCACCAACCACCTAATTAACACAGCTTAGGATGTGCCGGGGCGGGGGCGTTGCTCAGTGGGCCAAGCGGCCGACTGCCGCTCAGGTCCCCGATCTCGCGGTTCGTGAGTTCGAGCCCCGCGTGGTCCGGCTCTGTGCTGACAGCTCGGAGCCTGGAGCTGCTTCCGATTCTGTGTCTCCCTCTCTCTCTGCCCCTCCCCTGCTTATGCTCTGTCTCTCAAAAATAAATAAACGTTTAAAAAAATAAAAACAAACAACGCTAATGTAACTTAGGATAATTAACACGCGTACAACCCTCGGTCCAGCTTCTTCCCAGCATGCCCAGGTTGCGATGTGCTGGGGATACGCCATTAAGGGTGACAATCGGTCCCCGCCCCCCCCCCCCCCGCCTCGTTCTCCTGGAACTGCAGGCTAGTGTCATGCTAAGTGAGCCCGAATGGGTAGCGCTATCTCTTTAGTGTCCTGAGAAACAGTAAATTAAGGTCCTTACACAGAGGAACTGGTGGAAAGAGAGGAAGGGCCGCACCTCTGGATGAGGTAATCAGGAAAGACTTCTCAGAGGAGGCAGCATGGAACAGAGGTAGGGAAGAGATGACAAGTCTGATACCCACCTCTCCCTAGGGGCTGTGCTAAGTCTATCATCACTCCATTTGTTTTAGGCCTCACACCATCCCGCAGAGAGCCAAGGATCCCTGTGCTTGCAGAAACATCCTTGCTCAGGCAGTCCCCACCAAAAAAAAAAAAAAAAAAAGAAAGAAAGAAAGAAAGTCACCTGGCAGCCATCTTTGAAGGCTGATGAAACTCGTTTCCCGCCCAGAGGGCGTTCTGGGGCTCTGGCTGAAAGCCCACACCCTGGAAGCCAGTCCCCTCCAGATGCTTTAGACACTTTAAACCAAAAACAAGCAAAAATAAACTTGTACAATGCAACGCTGGTAAAGCTGAAGGAGCCACAGCCAACTCCATCAATGACAGCCCTGTGACCTTGAGGTTAAAACGGTGGGAAATCCCCGAATTCTAGAGTGCGGAGTGGTGGGGGGCGGAAGGGTGGAGAAAAGCTGAGCCCTCAGGCAAGAGAGGCACCACCAGCCAGGTGCTAGAGCTGGAATCCAGGCCCAGCTACAGCCTCAGACAGACCCTTTAGAGAACCAGTGTAAAATCACTCCACTAAACACCTAAAATGTGCCACTTGGAAGACTCTACCCCAAAGGCAGGCCCAAGATAAGTAGAAACAAGGTTAGAGTATTCACTCTTAAGGGAAGCCAGCAGCACTTGGGTGGATGTTCTCCACACCTGGTGGGAAGCCTCACGGACCCATTTTACAGAACGGACAAACTGCGGCTCAGAGGTGGAGGAGCCCGTCTAAGATAACACGGCTGAAAGTGGCCGGGTGGAGTTTTGGGAGGGCTTCCAGAAAACGGCTCTGGGCTTTTTAGCTTGACAGCCTCCTGGAATGAATTCTCCATGCGTAAAATGAGGCCCCCTGTCTTTGGAGGTCGGCCAGCACCGGGCTCCACCGTCTGCCCCCCTCCTCCCCATTCGGGGGGAAGGATAAAGCTGATAACCCTCCCTTCCTGGGGAGCTGGAGCGCCGCTTGAAGACCCGACCCAGCGCGCGGCCACAGGAGGTGCTGGGGAAGCACCGCCCCGCCCCCCCCCCCCCCCCCCGTGACTTACTCTGGCCTTGAATATCTGATTGCACCCTGTGAAGGAACCTATTGAGGAACTTCTTTTGTGATTATGGGAGCAGAGGTGTTTCCTGAAAGACCCCCCCCCCCCCCCCCCCCCCCCCGGGTGGCTCCTTCCAGCGAAATTTACAGTAACGATTAACGGTTTTACAAAGCGGTTTCGCGCCCAGGAGGCCTGGGGCTCGTAGCGAAGGCGTGCCAAGGCCGGAGCACCCCCCACCCAGCGTCCCCGGGCTTGCTGTGGCGGCGCGGGGCCGGCGGCGGGGCCCCTCCCGGTCACCGGCCGGACGGCGCCCGCGGCCCCTGCAGCGCTGAGCGCGCGAGCCGCTCGGCTTGCGAAGCCCGCGGGGCGCACCGGCGGGGCGCACCTGCGCGGGCCGAGGGCAGGTGCCGGGCGGCGGCCGCGCCCCCGCTCCGCGCGCAGTTCCTGTTCCGGACTCCCCCGCGGCCACAACAAAGCCTTTCTCCGGCCCTTGGCAGGTGCGCGGCGACTCGGGGCGGCCCGGGTCGCGGCGGGGACCAGCGCCCGACGCCATCTTCCCGGTGTCGGTGGACTCCGGGCGGTGCGGCGGGGGACTGGCGGTCCCGCGCTCCGGCCGGGTTCGCGGGCCAGCCCCGGGAGGCCGAGCCGGCGGGCGGTGCGGGGCGACGGGGCGACGGGGTCTCCGGCCCCGGGGGCGGGGCCGCCCCATTGCACGGAGGCGGAGACTGAGGCCCGTACGGGCTGCGGCTGGTACAGTAGCCGGCGGGGACCCGGAGACCCCCGCCGGAGACGGTGCGTTACGGAGCCAGCGTCCCGAAACGTCGCCCGAAAAGTGACACACGCGACAGCTGCCCGGGACGGAAAGTCCTGGGCACAGGTCCCCAACTTTCTAGCTGTTCCCGGAGCGCTCGCCTGCCGGGCTCGGGCTTGGCGCAGGGGCGGAGGGCGGAGGGGCTGGGGCCCAGCGGGGCAGCGGGGCTCGGACTCACCTCGCGTCCGAGGCGGCGGCGGCGGCGGGGACGGTGGCGGCGTCCGGAGCGCTTGAGCCGGGAGGCGTATTGTCTGCTGCCGGCGCGCGAGGGTATAAACCGCCGGGCCCGGCCCCGCCCCGGTCCGCCCCCAGGGCCGCCTCTCCCGTCGAGTGGCTCGGATCCGGGACCCAGGTCCGCTGGTAACAGAACTGCTACAAGTGTGATGTTTACCGCTGTGATGTTTACGGGTTGGCTGCCTGCCCACGGCCGTCTGCAAGCTCGTTTCGCGGGTGCACCGTTTCCCCGCGCGCCGGGGCGCACAGTAGGCCTCGGGGAGGATCCGTGGGCGAATCCACGGGCTGAATTTGGGTGGACGATCCAGGATCCTTGCCCGGATTGTCCCGCGTCGCCCTCCACGCATTCCTAAGTGCTCGGGGCTTTTTGTTCATGCCCATTTTACCAATGAGGAAACTGAGGGGTAGAGAGGACCCAACGACTTGCTAAAGGACAGTGGAAACTCCCCCCTCAAATATACACGCTCGAGGTGCTCGCAGTTTCGGGAGATGGGTTTGGTTTGGTTTGGTTTTTCTCCATGTTCTTTATTGTGGTAAAGTGCACCTAACAGCATTTACCGTATTAACTATTTTTTTAATGTTTTATTTATTCTGAGGCAGGGAGAGAGGCAGCGTGAGCAGGGGAGGGTCAGAGAGAGAGGGAGACACAGAATCCGAAGCAGGCTCCAGGCTCTGAGCTGTCAGCACAGAGCGGGACGCGGGGCTCGAACCCATAAACGGTGAGATCATGACCTGAGCCAAAGTCCGAAGCTCAGCCGGCTGAGCCACCCAGGCGCCCCCGTATTAGCCATTTTCAAGTGTGCTGTCCGGTGGTGTTAACTACATCCACAATGTCCAGTGATCGTCGCCACCCATCTCTAGAATTCCATCTTGTAAAACAAACTCTGTACCCATTAAAAACTCTCCTTTCCTGGCTGGCTCCGTAGGCGGACCTAGTGACTCTTGCGCTCCGGGTCCATGGGTTCGAGCTCCACTCCGGGTATAGAGATTGCTTACCGACCAACAAAAACTTCCGCATTCCCTCCTCCCCCCAGGCCCTGGCACTCACCTGGAATTAGGTATTTTTGAGCCTGTTTCACAAATGTGAAAGCTAAGACCTGTAGAAACAGCAGCAGCAGCAGCCCACTGAAGTCTGGGCCTTCCCACCCCACTCCTACCTGCACCATCCCCGCAACCCCGTTCCCCTGCCTTCCAGAGGGGAGCAGCCAGCCCTGCCCTGGGGCTCCCCAGCCTAGGGAGAAGTGCGGGGCAGAGCCCCTAGGCAGGGAGAAGAATCAGAAAGGGGGGACTCAGCCCTGGGGCGGGTTAGGGAAGGGTAGGATCAATTGCAGAACTGCAGCACGGAGGGGGGGGGGGGGTGGCCTGGAGGTGAGGAAGGCAGTGGTCTGGCTGGGATTACAAAGTAACCACTTTTCCAAGAACACACAACAAGGCTTGTTTACCTTAGTTCCCCTCTGAAAGCAGAACAGCAGGTCCCCTCCCCCTGCTTCTGCCATTTGCTACCTTTTGGGGCCCCGGACCCCTTCCTCCCACTTCTGGATGACAGACTGTGGCCCCCACTTTTCCTTTAGGGTTATCTGCGAAGCGGGCTGACCCCACCCCACACCCTTGGGGCTATAGTGAGGATCAGAGGAGATAATGATCTGTGACCACCAACAGATAATCCTTAGTAAACAACAGAGCAGAAGCTTCTGGCCCCCTCTCTCTAGGCTCTTCTGGCCTCTTCACATTTTGTAATCTTTTGAGGGCCCCCAGTGCTCGCTTCGGCAGCACATATACTAAAATTGAGGGCCCCCAAATCCCATCACCTGTGAGCCCCACAAAGACTGGATCTCTGAGAGCCACAGGCTGCCTTACAGGCAGGAGTGAGGAGCCCTATAAAATAGGGGCCCCTCTCCCCCCAGAGGAGGAAAGCAATGACACTGTGGCTCGTGGGCCAAAAAGACCTGATATGCGGGAGAATACCGCCAGAGAGGCCCAGAGCCAGGCACATAGTAGGTGTTCAACAAACATTAGTGGAGCAGATGGAGGAAGGACAGTTTGGGGACAGAGGGGGGATAGGAGTCCCCCAGGGAGATTATGTGAAAATATTTGCTTTGCAAGGTCGTAAGACAATGTGCTGATCTAATAGATGAGAAGGAGGCAAAAACTTTTGAATAAGAATTGGGCCTGTAGACGGGTGCCTGGGTGGCTCCGTGGGTGAAGCTTCCCCGACTTCAGCTCAGGTCATGATCTCCTGGTTGGTGAGTTCGAGCCCTGTGTCAGGCTCTGCGCTGACAGCTTGGAGCCTGCTTCAGATTCAGTGTCTCCCTCGCTCTCTGCCCCTCCCTTTTTGATGTCTGTCTGTCTCTCTCTCAAAAATAAATATTTTTTTAAAAATTTTTAAATAAAAAAAAAAAAGAGGGGCGCCTGGGTGGCTCAGTCCAACTTTGAGTGTCCAACTTTGGCTCAGGTCATGATCTCACCGTTTGTGAGTTCAAGCCCCGTGTTGGGTTCTGTGCTGACAGGTCGGAGCCTGAGCTGCTTCGGATTCTGTGTCTCCCTTTCTCTCTGCCCCTCCCCGGCTTGTGCTCTGTCTCTCTCTGTCTCTCAAAAGTAAATAAACATTTAAATTTTTTTTTAATAAAAAAAAAAGAATTGGGCCTGGAGAAGGCCTTGGCTACCTTTCAGTCCAAGAAAAAGCCCTGGGTTTATATGGCAAAGGGTATTAACAGTAACGAGAATGATGGCAGCCACAACCATATGTTCGATCCCCCAGTCCCCAGGGTAACCACCTTTTATTATCCCCTGTCATTCTTAGGACTGTCTGAGGCAGCGGGAATGGGCATCCTGGTGTCACTTGCTGTCACAGACACCAGAGCACCCACAACCGGTCCCAGAGCAGGCAAGAGAGAACTTGTGGCCCCATTTTACAGATCAAGAAACTGAGGCTCTAAAAAAAAGAGGCCAGTGGCGCCTCGCTGGCTCCGTTGGAGGAGTGTGTAACTTGATTTCAGGGTGGTGGGTTTGAGCCCCGGGTTGGGTGTAGAACTTATCTAAATAAATAAATAAACCTTAAAAAAAAAAAAAAAGACCAATTGCTAAAGACCACACAGCGAGCCCTTTTGCACAGAGACAGTTTCAAGCTCAGGTCCTTCAGTGGCCTTTCCCCCCCTCCACAGCTGGGCTCAAACCTCCTGGGCCTCAGTTTCCTTTTTCCATAGGGATTTGCTGGTCTGTCTGAGGGCCATCAGGCTATCGATTCTGCTCTCTCAGGGAACATCACCAGCTGGTGGGGCAGCCCCTTCCTTCAGGGGTGGGGTGGGGAGGTCTCCATCCCTCCATCCCAAGGAGCTGCCTCCAGGGGCCTGGGGCCCCTCCTGCTGAGGCTATGACCCCTTCTCTCCACGGTTTAGGGATCCACTATCCAGCCGGCCCTCTGGCACCAACTTTGAGTTGAGTTTGTCCTCGACAGAACTTTTTTCTGGATCATTCATTTAACAAGTATTGATTGACACCATATTACAGGCAGGGTGGGGGTCTAGAGACGGCACATTCTAGGAGGACATTCACCCAAAGCGGGGAGCCGGGGGAGGAGAAAGGGGCGATGGGAAGAGAGAGCAGAGAGCGCCGGGCAGCCTGGCACACGCGGGCCCTGAGAGAGGGGACAGGAAAGCCAGGCGGTGAGTGGGGAGGGCGGGTCTGTCTTTCAGCCGGGGGTGAAGGGGTGTGGAGGGAGGATGCAGCCTTCCTGCAAAGATGGAGAGAAGCGAGGACAGGGCCTTCCCTGGGTGAGAACATTCCCCTGTCCATGGCGGGGGGGGGGGGGGGGGGGGGGGGGGGGCCCCAGGGCGAGGAGAGTTGGCCAAGTGTGTCTGCCAAGTGCCAGCCTCAGCGGCCGGGCCCGGCTGGGGCGGCAGGCGCCGGTGAGGTTTTCAACGTCCTGGCTTTCCACTTGCCATCCCAGACTTCGGGCCTCGCCTTGGGACACCTTAGCTGCAAAATCCTCCAGCTCCCAGAGGCTTTGTAGTATTGGGAGGGGCCCATCGAAGGGCTTTGCTCTTCTCTCCTGAGTTGTGCCCGAGCTCCTTGCGGGAACCCCCAGCAGCCTGGCAGGCAGGCTCCTTACAGCGATGTGTCCCCTGTGCCAGCTTGGTGGACGTTTGGTGGGGGTGCGCTCACGGCGTGAGAGGCTGTGGAGGGAGAGCTCTGTGGGCTGGGCGTGTGGCCTGACTGATCTCGTGGCACCCTCGTGTGCCCCTGCACAGGAGGCTGAGGAAAGGAAAGCAGAGGAAAGTTTCATTCAGAGTGGTGCCCAGCGCACAGCGGGGGGTCAGCAAACCCAGTAAACCCAGAGCCTACTACTGAAGGAATCCACCCGACAAGTTTGCAAAAGAAATTCTATCTCGGAGGTACATCTTCTATTAAACGAAATAACACATTTTTTTTCAAAGATTTTATTTATTTCTAGGAGAGAGAGAGAGAGAGACAGCGTGAGCAGAGGAGGGTCAGAGAGAGAGGGAGGCACAGACTGAAACAGGCTCTAGGCTCTGAGCTGGCTGTCAGCACAGAGCCCGACGCGGGGCTCGAACCCACGAACCACGAGATCATGACCTAAGCGAAAGTCGGACGCTTAACCGACTAAGCCACCCAGGCGCCCCCGAAATAACACACTTTTACAAGTCAGTGTGTCCAATACCATCCCATATCCTAAAAAAAAAATCCATATAGAAAAGTCTGGAAAGAAATACAAGACTGCAATATGGGAATAGTGGTCATCTCTGGGCATAAGGATTACTGGTATTGTTTTCTGCCTTGTGCTTTTCTGTGTTTTCCAGACTTTTTTTTTTTTCTCTCTACAGATGTGTATTAACTTGGGAATCAAAAAAAAAAAATTTTTTTTAAGGAAGAGAAAGAAAACTGTGTTTGGCCTTGTCTCAGACTGGAGCTGAGCCAAAGACAATGGCAAATCTGTAGCACCAAGTGAGATAAACCCAGGACAGAAGCATAT